GCCCCCAGCCCAGCTCCGCGGGTACCTGCACACCCAGAGCCGGTGACACCTTTGGCTACTGCGCTGCTGTTCGACACCCACCCCCGATGGCCCCCAGCGCCTTCTGGAAGGCCACGTTAAGCCTCCAGGGAGGTGCTTTGGAGCCGGCTGGGCTTGGGCAGCCCCTGGCAGGGAGGGGGGGCTGTACCTGCTGAAGTGCCTGTGGGATAAACCCTCTGCCCGGGCACGTCTAAGCCCCCTGGTCCCTCCCCTGCAGCAGCCCCCATGTGCTGCGGAGCAGAGGCTGGGGAAGCTCAGTCCCTGCAGCCCCCGCAGCTTGTCTCCATCTCGGATGCCTTCCCGCAGCACGGGGGCTTCTGCGTGCTGGGCTTCGCCTCGCGGGCCGGGGGGGTCCTGCTGGTTTCTGTTTCCCCAAGGGGAAGCGAGTTGCCAAAGTGACCTGGGCAAAGAGCGGTGTTTCAGGTGGGATGTTACAGCCTCACGTTCATTCGCTTGTTCATAGGAGTTTTGTATTCTCTCGAGGCACAGCAAGAATGCGTAAGACGTGGTGGTTATTCATTACAGCTGTAAGAAGGGGGGCTGGTGGTGATGGACGCCTCAAATCCCAGCCGAGCAGAGCCCTCACCTGAAAGGGGACGGGGGTTTCTGAAGGAGACCTGTCCCCTCCACTGTGCGTTTAGCAGCAGCTCTGCTCCCTGGCCAGGCTCCTGTGGTCTGCCAGGAGGAACTGGGGCAGGCAGTGCTGAACTCGCTACCCTTGCTGTGCCGAGTTGGCAGCAGAGCCCCCAGACGGTTCCCGGGCGCTGGCACCTTGTGCCTGTGCTGTCAGACGCGCGGCTCGAGCGGGAAGTCAGCACGGGCCAGGGGCGTTCCCAGCAGGGTGGGATGTGCATCAGCCTCATTTCTCCTCTTCTCCTCTCCCCGGCTTTCACGGGTCGATCAGCGTTTCCTTCTCCACATTCCTCTGTTCCCCAGCACATTCGTGTTAAAATTTGTGAGGGTTTTTCTTGGGGGCATTTCAAGGTTTATTGCTGATGGGACTTGAGATGGAATCTGACTTGTGATCCTCTGGTGGGCTGAGAAGGCTGGCGTGGGTGCGGAGGTCGTGGTGGGGTGGGGGAGACCAGCCAGGAACCTCAGCTGGGAGAGCACTCTGTGCTTGTTTCAGGGGAGGAGGCAGAGAGCAGCCTCTGAAATCAGCCTTCTCCATGACGTGCAGAGGAACGGAGTGAAGACACATTATGGGAAAAACAGGCAACTAGAGAAACAGCAGGATGGGGCAGATACCTACAAGTAGCCTGGTGGGTTTTTGGGTGAAAGATGGTGACTGCAGACCATGCATCCTCCCGTAGAAGGCACCTGCCTGTGACGACTGGACTCGATATCCTTGGTGAACCTTCTCTGGTGGTTCACCAAGGCTTCTGAGACATGGTAGGCTTCATGGCTGGCTTATTGAGCCTCTCGGAGGACACTGAATGGGGACACGAATTGTGTCGCTGCAAGTTTTGGGAGGCCGCATGGAGATGTTGCCAGAATGGACCAGCCATGACAAGGAGTTTGGACTCAGCACCTATAGGCTTGCACAGCTGACGTGGTCACCTGTAGGTTGGTAAGAGCTGGAGTGTCGCTAGCTCCCCTCTCCACCAGGGTTGGCTCAGGAATGGCACTCTCCTTGCTCGTTGTCCTCTGTGTGTAAATAGGCTCTGAGCACGAGGCAGCCTTGATGCAGTTTGGGGATTCGTATTTGCTCTGAAATCTTCTAAACTGCTTTAAAACACCTTCAGGCGAAGGGGCCGAGCGTCAGCACGGGCCCTTTGTGTGCTGAAGCGCAGTTTCCTTCACCCATTTGGATTGCAGCAGAGGTTGCAGGGCTGCGTTCCCTGGACATTCGAGAGTCCCTGGGTTCATTTTGCCGATACGTGAACTAAGCCGGGTCTTTGCAGAGTCATGCAGTCATTTACCTGATGTGCTAGAGGCAGCCCAAACCCCTTACTCCCGTTTATTCGCCCTTTGAGAAAATGCTTGGAAAAACGTCACTGGTCATCGACGTCCCAAGTTGGAGGCCGCTCGTGGAGAACTGGGAGGTGAAGCACCCCGGGGAGGGCTGCGCGTCCAGGGCGTGCTCTGCATAACGCGCCGTTAAAATGGAGAACTGGGAGGTGAAGCACCGGCAGACGGGGGAGAGCTGCGTGTCCAGGGCGTGCTCTGCATAACGCGCCGTTAAAATGTGCCGTTAAAACTCCATGGAGAGGTGTCCCAGAAAAACACCACAAAGCGCTGGGCTTAACATTAAGTTCTTGGCTTGAGCAGCCCGGTCACCTTCAGGAAGGAGCGATCAGCTTGACCGCAGCATTCACGCGCTCAGTGCTCTGGGAGAAGAGGGATTCTCCGAGTTTTATTTTTCTTCTTTCTTTTTATTTTTCCACAGTAATTAATGAAAGTCAAAAGCAGCAACTGGAATCCGCGAGCTACTCCTCCCGCTACGCTCTGGGGCTGTTTTATGAAGCTGGTGCCCGGATTGATGTCCCCTGGGCTGCAGCGTACATCGCCGATAATCCCTGCATACGCTTCGTCTCCGTCGATAACAAGAAGCGCAATATAGGTCAGTGCTCCCATTATTTCCCTTGAACACAGTGACAATAGAGGGTGCAGATCATGAAAAATGCTGCTTAATTGAGTGTTGCTATTCTGAACAGAGCAAGCATTTAACTCCGAGCCGCAGCGGATAGCATTTAATGTCACATTTGGCCTGTAACAAAATACACAACGAAAGCAGGGAGGCCCTCAGAAAATCACCACCCTGCACATGGTTTGCGTTACTGCGTTTACGAAACCAGTGTCCGGGGATTTGAGACATCGAAATGTCGCTATTCCAAGAAAGAGCTGGCGCTCCTCTGTTTAGTGCTGATTCATACACATGCCATCTCCCGCGTCCACTACGCCACAGCTCCCGGTATTTCCACTAAGCGTGCCCGGAGGTGGTAGCGAGCTAGATAACGGGGGCTGCTCGGCCGGAGGCAGGGCGAGACGGTGCGCTTCTGCAATCCCGGAAAATCCTTGAAATGGTGCGCACAGAGGGCTGCTCGGCAGGGCTTGGAGAACGTCCTACATGGCAGACACTTCTCATGCGTTTCTGGAGGACGGCAGCCGAGTAAGTGTATGTTTTATTTATTAAATGTATTTCATACATCGGGAGTGTGTTGGCATAGTATAGCTCAAGAAGAACCGCTGGCATTTGAGTTTAATCGAGTTCGTTAGGAGCTGAAAGCGCTTCCCGATTCCGTTACTTGCTCACGTTGCGACAGTGACCGCGTTTACCCACATCCGTGAAACGGGGGTGAAAGCCTTCCCACCTTTGTGGTGACCTGTGCAGCACCGTGGCGCGCTGCCAGAGAATAAGGAAGGATTTTCCTAATCAGCCGCTGCCTAGTATGTAATTATTAAGTATCACCAAACTCACTGCGCCAACGCATGCTCAGGTTTAGGCCTGGGAGACTTCTAGTCTCCCTTGTTCCGTCGGGATCCGTTGTTTCCCGCAGCCTGCAGGCATCGGTGACGTTGCGCCTGCTGGGCAGGGCGCTGGAGACCTTGCCCATCGCCCTTACGTCGGCGTGCCGTCACCGTGCTAGGAAACAGCCGTACGACTGGGCACGCTTCTCCCGCGCCGTAACCGCGCGGTGTGATGTGATAAGCTGTGGTGAGGGAGTGTCGCTGTATAGCGGCGGTGCTGGCAGCCAGGACCTCTGAAGATCCCTGCTCCAGCTCTGACTGGGAGCAGGCTGTGCTAACGCGATGTTGGGGCAGCCATGCCCTCTCTAGCTGAGGATTTAAAAAAGCCGGGATGGAGATCCCCCCCCATGGCTGGTGACCTGTCCCAGGGCTGCACCTGCATTTCTTCATCCACACTCTGATCTTGCCGAGGCTCAGCCTGTGGAGGTTCCCCCTGTTCCACTGTCTGCCCCTACCTCTTGGAGTCACGGTCATTTGGGGTGGAAGGGACCCTGGAGGTCGCCTGGTCCTCGCAAGAGTCCGGTCCGGTCTCCCATGCGAGGTTTGCAGTTAGACCCAGCTGCCGAGTTCGGTCGTGATGCTCAAGGCCCTGGTGTGACGTCATTTCCCACCTTTGCACTGCTGCCCGATGTTCCACGGCCTCTGCGCTGCCGGTGCTCTGCCCCCACTGCTGCAGCCGCCCCCACAGGGCATTCCCCCCCATCCAGGAGTCAGTACAGAGACAGCG